CCCCAAAACCCCAAAACCCCAAAACCCCAAAACCCCGTAAAAGTCATCTTCAATTGAGAGAGAAGTTAATTTAATAATTTGTAGCTTAATGGTTATTAATTCTATTGTTAGTTAACTGGAATTGAATATTTTAGGATCCTTCAAGAAGACTATGTTAAAAGGAATAAGAATTTAGAATAACTAGTATGAGCAAAGGCCCAATATCATTAAATTAGAAACCTGCCATTATTATCGACTCTATTTATTGCAAGAATATTGATGAAAAAGTTTCAGTGGTAAAGTACTGATGTGCTTTACCAGCTCAAGATTTCTTACTCGGTCTGGAATTATGGCAAGTGATCGCTGTTAGAGGTTGCTCAGAATGATAGCCATCGAATTCCTCCTCACTTTCTTCTTTACAGGAATTATTTTCTCTTGAGTATCTTCAAGAAAATTCAAATGTGAATCAGTATACTTCTTCGTCTTGAAAAGAGTGAGACGTTTTAATTTCATTGACTTATTCCCACTACTTTCCGATTCTTGGGTCTGAGACATCGATGATTTCTTTGTCACAAAAGAAGATCTCTTTCTCTTATGCATATTAGGAGTTGTATTGAAATAATATGTCAAATCGTCACTACTTTTGACTGAGGAAGTTGAACTAGACGACTTCGACTTCTCTTCCTCAATGATACTATGAATAGAGTATCTTATTTTTGCAGGCATATTGAATTTAGAATCAGAGAGCTCCTGATATTCGGGATCTTCTGTATCATGAGCCATGCTCTGGACGCGCCTCCCTCTTTTAACCATTGTATCCGATTTGGAGGTTGATGATTTCTTAAAACAAGAGGAATATTCATCATCATTCTCCAAATCGCTTATTCTATTCCTTACAGTTGAAGTGTGTTCATCTTTCTTCTCTTCATTACTTTCTTCATTCTCTTTGTTATCCTCATTTAGAGATTTTATAGACATCTTGTATCCTCCTCCTTTCTTAAGTCCAAATGCAAAGGAGTCTTCACTGATTTGTTTAGTTGGCATCTTCTTTTTGGTAAGCGGAGAAAATCCAACAATGGTATGCATTTGATGAGCTGATTGAATTCTTAACCTATTTTGTTGACTTAGCTTTGCTCTCTTGTCACTTAATTTTTCCTCATTTGTGTCCTTGTCCTGAACCTCTTGCTTAACTTCAACTACCATCCTCTTTTCTTCTTCTTGGCTATTTTCTGAAGAGCTTGAGGAACTACTAAAGCTACTTGAAGAGCTATCATCAGATTTCTCTTCAGTTTGTTTCTGAAGATTTTCAATAGCTTGCATGGAATATCCTGATGAAAATTCTTGAACTCTCATTGATTTTCTTCTTAACTTGTTAAGAGTAGTGTCCTTGGACTCTTCATCATCGACAGAGCTTTCTCCAAATTCGCTATAATGAAAACTTTCTGTTCTCTTCCTTCTGCCTCTTCTGAATTTATCTCTAATGCTACTCTTGAGGACATTGCTAGTGCCTTTTTCGTGAGTTTCTTGATTCCTACTTGGAGAAAGTCCTTTTATGTTTTGAGCCTCTTCCTCAAACTTTTGAATCTCTTGTGCGAACGATTTGAACGAGTTATTCTCTACTTGGAGATTCAAGAATTTCCTCAGTGTTTGGTTCTCCTGATCTATCTGTGATAGCCTGTTATTGAGTTCTACATTCTTGTTTAAAGTTTCTTGGAGAATACTCTGTTCATGATCTTTTTCATTAATCTCAGTTGTTTTGGCCAAGAACTTTACAGATTGTAGGAGTTTGGTACTGAGAGAGATGTTCGCTTGCTGATACTCCTTTGATTCAATTTGGTACATTTCTAATTGATACCTATCCTTCTCTGCCTGCTTCTTATACTCAAGGTTCTCAGCCTATTTTAGTTAAGTTTAAGCCATACTTTGAGGTTTCTAAGTTTTCTTGAGAAGCATCTTAATAAATCATCTTTGAAATTATTCATTTCTGTAAGTCTCGCAATCTCAAGGGCTTGTTCTCTATCTTTCATGGCTAAGTTTAGTGCTTTTTCTTCTATATGGTTGGATAGAATCCAAGTATGAAAAAGAAACTAAGAAGTAGAAGATTCAGATTAAAAAAAAAGTTATTTGTTTGAATGTCATGTCATTATCAATAGAAATTCGAGAAATACATAAGAGATTAAAGATATTTCTTACTTGAGCCATCATTAAAAGCTTTAATCAAAGTTGGAGAAGAAGTAGTATCTCCAAAGGTGGATTCAAACCCTGAGATTGATTCTCAATGGTAAGATGAATAACCTCCAATAGATGATAACACTTTAGTCTTATCTGCTACTAAGTTATTTAGCCTTCCTTTATACTCTATATTAATTAAAATTTCTTAATTCCTCACCTGAGCCTAATCCAAGGCTGGTATTACACCTTTCGCCTGAAGGAGATATGGTTATTTTCTCCCCAGATGTATTTGACTTATGAATATTCTGCTTCTGGTTTCCAAAGAACCTCTATAAAGCTCACTGATGAAAAATTTCAATTCAAGCTGCCAAACCTTAAGTTAAAATTACCACTAATTTATGAATAAAGAATAAAGTTTATTTCATAAAAATACAACCAGAATTATGAAAATATTAAGAAATCTTTGTTTCCGTACCTCTCCTTTGTAAAAACTCCTTTTCCTCATATTTTTGGCTGGTTTCTATAATAAATCTTAGCAACATTATTCAGATCCCAAGTTTTATCACTCTAAAAAATTCAGACTTTTATTGGATGTAAAATTCTTAAAAAATAGTAAAAAATGTCCTTATTTGTTCGAGATTCTATAACTCCAATAGTGTGGGAAATTTCTTAATTTATCAATATTACATTCAGTGGAATGAAACCGTTAGAAATTTCTATCCAAAGAGGGGCATCTCGATTCTAACTTTTTAATTACTCCTTGTGCCAGGACATTATTCCTCTAAAATTCTCACGGGAGTTGAAATATCCCCCTGAGAGACTCCAGTTTTGATAATGAGAAAGTATTCATTATAATTTTATTCTATTGGAGACCTGTAGTTTACCATTTTCTTAAATATAGGTGAGAATTCGGACAAAATTATACCAATCTTAGAATCAGCATGTTAGGTGACTGCTCCTTTCAGGAAATTATGCTAATGTATAGTATATATTACTGAGGGCAAATTTGGTATTTTGTCAGATTTAAGATCTTGTAAAGGCAGCTACAAAAAGTGAAACTATTTTTAAGTTCAAGGATAACTAAGATTCTTTCTATACAAATTTGAAGTTAATATAAGATTTCTTAAGTTCTTTCAATGTAAGTTAGGAGGTTGAACAAGATCATTACCTTTGCTCTCTTCCTTTCTATATTTATGTTAGAGATATTACTAAATTCATCTGTAAAATATAGGATATAAAGCTTCAGTAATCAATCGTAAATCAAACTTTAAAGTACTATCCACCCACTCACCTTGATCAATCTCTTCTTGATGAACAGCCACTACAATCCTTTCAAGCCCAAAGTCTTCTTCCAAACCTACATCCATTTTAATTTATAACATATAACTCAAAAGAATTTGGAATACCAATTCCTCTACCTAAAATGGGGTTTTGGGGTTTTGGGGTTTTGGGG